GTGTCAGGGGCGGGAAAATGGCCGCGGACCACGTGTCAGGGGCGGAAAAATGGCTGCGGACAGGGTCATGGGAGGGAAAATGGCCGCGGATCCTGTTCGTAAACCGAGGCGGAGTTCGCGAACCCAAGCAAAATTTTGCGGCCGGAGCTGGTCATCACCCGAAAAGTTCGTGAACAGAAGCGTTCGTAACCCGAGGTTCCACTGTATATGTATATATATGATATATCGATATAAATATAGATATTGATATATATGACATCTCATATTTATTTATTTACTCAATTTATTAGCCATCCATCTCCCTTTATCCAAGCGACTCTAGGCGGTATACAATATATATATATAAGATATCGATAAATCTGGAGGATGCCAGCTTAGGGAAGATGTCATATATATATATATATAAATATATATATGTGTGCGTGTGTGTGTGTATGTGTATATGTGTGTGTGTGTGTGTGTGTGTGTATATATGATATATATATATATGACATATATATACACATACATACACACACACATACACATACATACACACAGACACACACACAGACACATACATACATATACACACACACACAGACATACACACACACACAAGACTTTTACTCTTTAACCTGTCATTTTCACTCAAGCCTCTCCTCTCTGAGAGTTCTTTGACCTCAGCACAAGATCCCATCCTTCATTATGCAAAAATCTGTATTTCTCCATATTTTCAGTTTCCAGTTCTTGTTTCTTTGGGTTTAAAATTGTATTTCTTGCCTTTCTGGTGACTTTGTGGTACCAGAGATTATAGAGAGAATAAATTACTATATCAGTTAAATGAAAGTTCTTTATGTTTCCAGACACACTTTTGTTAAGCCTGAAAATTAATATTCTTTCCTGTCCCAGAGGAAGTCAAAAAGGCAGCAAAAGGTTTTAGTCACATAGAACTAGACACTTTTCATCATTCAGCAAATCAAAAAAAGTTTTCAAAATTTGTGCAGGGTGATATGCCATTATAGGTAATCACAAAGCCAATGCTGTATTGGTGCCCTTCTTGTAAGCATCTGTTTGACCAGGCAGAAAACAGGGTATTGGAATAGTTTCTTACGCTGCTTTATTAACTCAGCTTTTTATTGATTACATCTGAATGGCTTGTTCAGTAAGATCAAAGTAATGACTGAAACCCATTTTAACATTATTTTAAGAGCTGAGTTGTAATTGGGATCTATTGAACTGTTCATTGGATGAATGTGTTGATTGCCAATCCATTGGAAAAGTCAACTTCCTGTTGATTTCAATAGGAAAAAAAAGTTTGTAAAGGTCAGCCAAACAAGAAACTGAAGAATCTAGACAAAAATTGTACCCTGCCATTTTGAGAAAATGCTCACACCACACTGTACAGTTTTGTTCAGTTTTCTTTCTTTTGTGGTGCCATATGTTCAGATTACTAATAGAAAATAAGTAAAAAATGGGGGGGGGACCTTTCTAAGGAGATTTTAATAATAATGCATCTATTTATGTATTTTTTTTTTTTTATAATTAAATATTTTCTACACAAACAAAAAAAAAACATAAATAAAAGCATTATGATTAAAATCTCCTTAGAAAGGTCCCCCCCCCCCCCCTTTTTTTTTTTTTTTTTTTTTTTATAATTAAATATTTTCTACACAAACAAAAAAAAAATAAAAAAAACACATAAAGATATTGGGGGG